GTGCGTATACAAAGTCTCGATACGTTTCAGGGACGGATGGAAGCAGATCTCTCCGTTGGTAGAAAAGGTCTCCAAGATTTCTCCAAGCATTACTTTTCCGATCCCTGTCATCGCTGAACTGTACGATTGTGATAAACTTGTTGACTGCATCTTGGTAAAACTGTTTAGCTTCATCGTTATGGGACTTGTCCCACTTTATCTTTCCGTAGATTAATTGACATGCCAACCCGGACTCAAAGATCCAGTCTTCACGTTCGGATTGTGCGACGTCTTCCCCGGCCAACTTAATAGCTGTCTGATACAAATCAAACGCCTTACGATACCTTTGGGTGGTCACAGACTCTTCGTAGATTTCGTTTGTGAAGGCGAACGCCTGTTCAGAAATACTTCGAGCCCGTAGCTTTCTCAGTTGCCTCCTTCCTTCTTCTGTATCATCCTGTCCAATCAGTCTTGCAATTCTCTGCTGGCAATCTTGGGCCTCGATGAATCTGTATAGTTTCTCGCAGATGTATTTGCGGTTTGCAAGAGCATTTAAATTATTTGGGTCTTCGTTAGGAGCGAGGACTTTATCCAGGTACTGCAAAGCTTCTTCAAACTGACCAAGCCGAAATGCAAGCATCCCAAGAAGATTCCAGTTGGCATAATGCTCAGGTCGGCTTTCTGTGAATCGCTCAAGATACCTGTTTTTGGTTGCAAATAAACGTTCAGCCACCTTCAAATCGACGTGGCCTTTATTCAGCGTCAAAGGAAGGCGAAAGAGACCAAACTCATCAGCAGACGACATAGTTGCGGTCAGACTCTGCGTAAAATAAAACAAGGATCCGATTTTGTCTGCTTGAGATCTTATCTGCTTGAGATAAAAGTACTTGCCTATCACTTCCCACACAGTTATTTCGAAAGGTACGTTTATTGCCCTTTGTCTTTGAATCGAATAAAAGATTCAAAGGAAATTAGACAGGAACAAAGACATTTTTCCCTCACCTTTATTTTGTTTTCCACTCATGACTAGGTACGTACGCAAATCACTTCCAGGGAAATGGTTAATTTGAAATTGGGTTCAGCTCGTACATTCGAGTTAAAAATCACATACGCTTTTCACAGTTCCATGGCACGGTGTTGGACGTGCATGTACGTTTTGGACAATTCAACATTGTGCGTAAGAAAACTTAAGTTATAATAGTAAAATGGAGTTTAATTCTGATAAAATGTATCAGTTGGTGATAACAAATCATTCATCCCACTTGTTTTGCGGTAGTAGATAAAGAGTCGGAACGCCATTGAGTCGGACGTACTCAAACTAAATATTGGGTTCATTCATGTACAAAATTTGCTTTTTGACACAAAGTGACATGAGAACAGAACAAACTTGCAAAGGGCGGTAGGCACAATGCTGTTTTTTGTGTGTGTGTGTTTATGCCGTAATTTTGTCTATAGTATTCCCTGAATAACAATGCAGTTATAGCCGTTTGTTGATATAATTATGTTTACCCAGAGCTCTATTGGTTTAAACTATGAACCTAGAGTATTGACATAAAGCGATATTATCTGAGAATGCTCACTGCACTTTATGTGTCGAACTTTGGTATAAATCAGTGTTGCATTGTGCATAGGAGGGTGACAAGATTGCATATCTATACCCTGTCGTAAAAGTTAAAGGCCATATTACCAATGAATGAGTACAACGCACAACGTGATACGTGTCTAGGATGATTTCAAAATTGGCAGAATGAGATTTTGGACATTCTGCTCTAAACCTTTGGGAATTTGCCTAAAAAAAGCAAATTTATGCTATATTTTGAGTTTCAGCCTGAAAATAACTTTAAAAAAAAAAAGGGAAATACAAAAGTTATTACTTTTGACTGAGACATCGAATGACACCAGTTTGGCCTGTGTCGGTTATGACGTAACTGGTTCACAATTTCTGCTTTTTTGCGGCATGAAAATAACTCAGTTATCCCAGTATAGACTGGTTTCCGCCCCTGTGTGAAACTAGAGGGATAGGAAACCAGTCTACTCGCGAGGGCTGATCTGTGGAAACTTTGTTTGGGGAAGACAATGTACAGGACATTTTGACGCAAACTTAACACTCATTTTAGGGGATTAAAACGTTTATTTTTTACACAAAATTTGACAGTATAAGACGGTTGAACACAATATGTATTACGTATCTCTCGGTTGAAGAACAAAATTGGAGAAGCAAAGTTATTTTTTACAACTGGAATCATGAACATTCACTCATCGGATATTTGAATATCTAAAGAGAACTTACGGTTTCAGGTGCCAAAATGTGTTCACATCTGCCCGTGTGAGAAATCGTCGAATCAGAGCAACTTCAAGTCAGGAATAAGGTAAACCTTGCTTCGATTTACCACTACTTCTGTCTTTGGACTTTTCTAGTCAGCTATTTGGGGCCGGAGCCGGAACATAGTTCTATCGCTGGTTACCATTAACCGCGCGCATCACAATGGACAGCAGGGAGCCAGGACCCAGATGATTCAGCGTTTGATAGGGGGCGTTCACACGTCGCTATTAGTGCGCAGGCGTAGGTTACGCCACGAATCAACCATTAGTTGACTCTGGCTTGGCTGACGTAATTGATAAAGTAAGGTGACGTCCAGTTCTTTGTTGCCAAATAACGAGAGGGCGCTCTTTCATTCTATGATCATACCAGGATGCTGACACATGGGCCAAACATTATTTTTCATCGGTCTTAGTTCACTAGCACAACATCCTCGCTCTATCCGCATTTTAGATAGACCAAAGTTTTTATTATATCCTTAAGTTTTGAAGTTATCCATAAGTTTTGAAGAATTGAAATATATTGTGGTCATCCTACCGCCATGGCCAATGAACTTTTGTTTCCGGCATAATGTGTCGTGCGCACGAAAGAGTTACATTTTAGCAGGACGATGACATAAAGTTTAGTGAACAGATTATTACAAATGTTCGAGGAAGTTGGTTACTTTTAGGTTGATGTAGTGCTTTTTAATATAACAAGTTCTAAACATTTCAAACCTGTTGATACAAAATCATCTCTGCAGCTAAAGTCCTTTATCCCAAGAAAAACATGCATCATTTCAAAGTTAATGTTTCTTTACATTAAATTAATCGGCGATTCACAGAGCACAAACATTATATTAGAATCCTATTCATCCTATTTATATATGGATCTTCTAAGAAGAACTTATTCCTATTGCAATAATGTGCTAAGCGTTAACAGTTTGGGAGCAGACACAAGCGATATCTAATGGATAATATTTTAGCGATTATCTTCTCTCAAAATCTACATGCTACGAAGCTCCACGAAGTGTGCTTGTCTACAAAGCAATCTGTCTTCCTTCTTTATACTATTATGCCCTCACCTTTTGGAATATATACACACGGGATAATTATTGCAATATTTACTACATCTTTCAGTGACTTATAAAGCAGTAATCTTGGTTATTGTATACAATGCAGCTAGTACAAAATGCAAATCGTTGTCTTGATCACATGTAATATTTGTTTCAAACTTCCATTTTACTTATTTCCAACGTGGATGGATCTATTGAAAGGTTGTGTATGTGATAACACATTGGTGCACAGTATGACCAAAACCGAGTTATATCGAAAAGGTGTAAGGATATCTTTCAGTGCTAGAGTAAACGGCCTTGTATTGGCTGTGACGTCTGGACTCGCTTATTGTGGATGGTTGTGTACATGTACATTGTTATTTCTGTGTCACACTAAATACATATATGCACTCAGTACTACAGTTCTGTTTATACCTAAATATATCCAGCTGGTCTTTAAAAATATTCTGCTCTTTAAAACTACACTACGAATGCTCTACATATGAACATGCTAATTTTGCCTGACATTATCATAATTCAAAAAGCGAAAATGAGAATCTGACATGATATGTTGTAGTGCACAACATACTTCTTCAATTTCATTCTTGAAAAAAGTCATACAATAGTTATTATTTTCGCTCTGTTTTCCCACTCAACTGATTTTTTCCCTTTCAATTGACACTTGGGAAAATAATTTCTCTTGATTTTCAACCTCGTTCTTATACCATTCAGGTGTTATATATTTGTACAGAAACATTCAAATCCAGTCTATTTTTGCCACTTCTAAAGGTTTGCAATTATCTTGTTTCAACTGCTCGTCTCGTGTGTTTTATCTAAGATTTCAATGGTATTCTATATGTTGAGTATAAGTTCATGAAAAGCCTTATGTTTTGACTGATAAAATTAATTGAAAAGCGGTCAACAAATGTTTGTTCCTTCGTGCAACTACATAATCTTCCATACACAAATAAACTACCAAATGCGAAATTGGGAATGAGCTTATAATTCTTGACTGGCTCCCGTCCCTCCCTTAAACGATTAAACAGTGGTTGGATCGGGAACCAGCCACAATAACCTATCATTATTTGGCAACGCACTGCCTTCTTATGTACATGCATGTTATAATTCTAATCTAACAATTAAACGCTGTTAATGTTGTATTCAGGTTTCAGGTTTAATCATCGAACAAACCGTTTGATTAAAATCTGTTTTCCCCCTTGGCTAGACATATAATCGAGGCGTATCTTTTTCTGATTTTTGTAAAACATTCTTGTTAACTCTTATGTACGAATATAGTATTTTTTTTTTCTCTATCTCCACAAACACATTTGGGTACAATCAACAGCACAAATATTTTCCAAAGGCCGATATGCAGACTATATTTACACGTTTTATGGACTTAAATTTGATATTTCCAAACTGGAACACTTTGCTTTTTATGGTTGCTTTACTTTGTGGTCTTCCAACTGTTTTATTCATTGTTGCAGTTTGCATTTACTCTTTGATAATTACACTGATGAACTTGAATGAGATAAGCGTTAGAGAAAGCAGATGGAACCTTTTTTCTACCCACTTTTGCTGCCTGACCTACAAAGCGTGTACACAGAGCCCGGCACTTTCAGAATAGCCCCAACGCCGATGGATTGATTATCAAGCGTTTCAAACAGTCTAAAGTTTAACCTGTTGCTCGATACAGCTTGCCAATTTCGGCCAGTCAACAGCACCTGTTGCATCAAGGTGCTTGATTGGTTTGAGCACCGGTGGCATTACCCTGTCTTCAAGGAGAACAGGGATAACCAGCCGATCACTCTCCAATACAATATACATGGCCCTGAGGTCATTATCGTTGGTTTCAAAGTCCCTGGTGAGTACAATAATGACACAGACACTGTCCTCAATGCTGTCTGAGTAGTTTTGTAGCCTGGGTTTGCCGAGTTCGAAGTCGCGATCTTTGATGCAGCCTTTAAAACCGCTTTCTTCCAGTTCTTCCAGCATGCGGTGTTGCACCCATTCAGAGGCACTACTGCTGTAGATGACGAAGAAGTCATACTTTAGTCTCAGATTATTTTGCGGTCTTTTAAGAGCCTCGCGGACGTGCTTCTTGGAGGCGACTTCAGTTGGTGGTTCCTCAGGAGACGGCTTCGTGGCTACGTGCTGCGTTTTGCCGGTTTTGAGGTTCACCGAGTATGTGATGTGGATCGTGTCGGGAGGAATATGATGCTCCTTATTCCCATCAAGGTCTACTTGAGACAGAGATTCAGACAAAGTCTGGATATCTCTGTCTATTTTGTCAGGGATGGGACGTGCGGGTGCTGCTGATGCCCTTTGGGATTCCCTCAGATACTCTGCATTAATGTTGTCCCCGGTTCTGTCGGATAGTTCTTCCCCCTGTGCTCTTGATGTCGGTTGGACGTACCTACTGCTGGCCGGCAAGCTGTGCTGTCGTCTTGTTACTGATGGAGGGAGGGATCCTTCTTCGACTGACACAGGTGGTGAGAGCTGCCGCTGAGCATGAGGATATCTCTGATACTGAATATCATGAGACCGTGAAGATGCGTCACCAAAACTACACGCTGCATCCCCAACATTACTTGCTGAAGAAAAGCTCTGATTTTGTCCTCTCTCTGACGTTTGAGAGACGTCACTGTAGTGGGTTAAAGAAAGGGGGTGTTGTAACCGAGAAGGATCCCTGCTGTCAATGGCTGCTGACTCTATGACCTCAAGTTCCCTCTCGTAATCGTTATCTTTACAGTACTTGACGAATATTCCCCAATGTTCGCTCATCTGCTTAAGTGTTTTCAGCTGCCAGAGTGTCCAATTAGTTGAAAGGCAAACACAAGTTGCTTTGTGCAACCAGTACACCATGTCACTCAGCAAAGACAGGTCTTCTCGTAGAGCAGAATGGCTATCCGGTAAGATGTGTTTGTACTCTGACACTAGAGCGACTTCACTACCCGTTCGATAGGAAGCTGCGATTTTACATTCAACTGCTCGCTTGTATGAACCTAAGGCCGCCTGATGCTCTCCCATGGCACAGAGACCTTGCCTCTCAATTCATGGACTTTTGATCTTTTTGAACCATCTGCAGTTTCCACGGCTTGGGCGCAGTACATTAGAGCTTGCTGCATGACGTCTTTTCTTCCAGGATATAACCGCCCGTTAGCAAGACTTGCCGTGTAATACAATACTTCTGCCATTGATTCTTTGTACCATGGTTTAGAAACGTCTTTAATGGTCAATGAGAGGTCTTCTTTAGCCCGTGTCAGTAAGGTTTCATCCGGACGTTTCTCTGAGGGAACGCGAGATTTTTCGTAGTCTTTGAGTTGCTGCTTGTATTGGGAGAGATAAATTTTTGCTCTGGACCTGTGTGCGCTGAGATTGAATTCTGAGTCAACCAGGTCAATGGATTTTTGTAGAAAAGACAAAGCTTTGCTCTGGTTTCTCTTACCTTTAAAGTGCTTTGCCTGACTGTTAAGAACTTTTGGATCATTTGGGGAGAGAGACAGAGCTTTTTCGAAGCATTTGTTTGGTTGGTCTAGGAAGTCTCGATAAGTTTCAGGGATGGACGGAAGCAGGTCTCTCGGTTGGTGGAACAAGTCTCCAAGATGTCTCCAAGCACCGCTTTTCCGATCCTCATCATCGCTGATTTGAACGATTGTGATAAAATTGTTGACTGCATCTTGGTAAAACTGTTTAACTTCATCTTTTTTGGACTTGTCCCACTTTATCTGTCCATAGATTCTTTTACAGGCTAACCCTGATTCGAAAAACCAGTCTTCACGCTCGGATTGTGCGACGTCTTCTCCCGCCAGCTCAATCGCTGCCTGATACAGGTCAAAAGATTTCCGATCCTTTTTGTTGGTCACCGACTCTTCAAAGATTTCGTTTGTGAAGGCGAATGCCTGTTCAGAAATACTTCGAGCACGTAGCATTCTCAGTCGTCTTTTTCCTTCTTTTGTATCAGGCTGTCCGAGCAGCCTTGCAATCTTCTGCTCGCAATCTCGTGCCTCGGTGAACAGGTACAGTTTCTCGCAGATGTACTTGCGGTTTGCAAGAGCATTCAAATTATCAGGGTCATTGCCTGAAGAGAGGACTTTATCCAGGTACTGTAAAGCTTCTTCAAACTGACCAAGCCGAAAGGCAAGCATCCCAAGAAGATTCCAGTTGGCATAATGCTCAGGTCGGCTTTCTGTGAATCGCTCAAGATACCTGTTTTTGGTTGCAAATAAACGTTCAGCCACCTTCAAATCGACGTGGCCTTTATTCAGCGTCAAAGGAAGGCGAAAGAGACCAAACTCATCAGCAGACGACATAGTTGCGGTCAGACTCTGCGTAAAATAAAATAGGCATCTAGATTTGTTTTACAAGAAATGGCTGATGTGACAAGAACCAAGTCAACTGTTGCTTTTGCAACTCATGACAAAGTTTGGGATTCACTTTCAGGAAATGTTTAATTTTGAATGTGAATTGTGCTTAAAAACCAGACAGTCAAAGATCTACTTGTTTTAAAACAAGTAGATCTTTGAGTGTGTCTGATTGTTAAGCTCAATTCACGTTCAAGATTAAAACATTTCCCTGAAAGTAAATTTTCTTTGCGTTAGTTTAAATACAAACACGTTAGTTTATATATAAACACTGGGGTTGTGTTCAAGTCAAATTCATTATGCAGGTATCTTTGTACCAAAAACAGCCTGAACTTTAGCAAGTTGAAATTATTGCAGCCGCTTGTAACTGAAATTTGACTTTCAGGAAAACGAATTACAAACACGAATTCAGATTACATTGTCAACGCCTCGTGTTTGACTCGTGTTTAACTTAAAAACGCCTCGTGAACGCCTCTGTTGAGGAACCTAAATCGTTTTTTTTTTCACTAAGAAAGGCTTCGTAAACGGTACTGAAAAATGTTTTCGTAGTTTGTAAAAGCTAAATACTTTGACATTCACATTTTAAACGCAGTACAAACATAAGCGTTTATAAGTTTAACACGTAGGTTTTAGAGTGCGCGTGTTGGTATATTTGGGCGTGCAAATAAACACTAAAATATGCTTAGAAGTTTAAGCAAAAGGTAAAAGCATGAACTTCCGAATATTAATGAAAGGTAAATGCTTGAATCCGTATACAAACACGTTTTTTTTTATCGTACTGTTTAGAGTTACTAGAAAGAAGGTAGAAAATACTTTTTACTGTTGGATTAGGGGGTGCACCACTGATTTCTATATAAAGACTGGATAGCGGATAAAGAGCCGCACAATGAATGAATTTGACGCCATATTGGTGAGACCGGCTGGTGATCTACAAAGGACAAATTGCCGTCTTTATAGACAGAATGATTTCTTTTGTAACATCGCAGTTCACTTAACTTATATTTTGACCACCACCACTAACCAAGGTTTACAATTCTTCTAACGTCGTGGTATACTTTTTTTAATGCCGCAGTTTTGGAACGACGCACAGGCGCGCGCGGTTGCTATTATTCGTTGGATAAGTGCGCAACATCGCGTAAAGCTGCAATAGACCGCTTGCAGACGCGTTCGATAATTGTCGCGCGAAGGCGCACGACGCCATGTTGTGGGACAAGCGTATATCTATCCATGCACATTTTGTCCCACAACATGGCGTCGTGCACCTTCGCGCGTCAGTTATCGATTGCGTCTGCAAGCGGTCTATTCAAAACAATTCGAAACATGATTTAGCAACTTTTGATTTTAAATTGAGATCCTAGAAAGTTGTTTTTCTCGGAATATGAAGCTGAAGCTGAAGTTGTTCAGTATCCTTCATTGGATTTTGAACATTTTTGTTGCTTCAAACGAACAAAATGCACAAAAATGTTCAAATGTATCAAATGACAAGGATCTATATGTCAGTAATATAAAACAAATATTGGTAAAGTCATACCAAACTTCAATATACCCGGTTTTTATTTGTAAATTGACATTTTGAAGAAAAAAAATTCTTTGGAAAATTGCCGCCATTGCATGTTGTTCTACATATTTTTGTTTCAAAGGGCAAATCTGCTATGGCTCTATTATACAAATATTGAGTGGCTCAGCGTGGAATGGAAGGAATATTATCGCAAGGTAAAATCTGGAGTTGTCCATTTCACGAGGTGAAGCCGAGTGAAATGGAAAAGTCCAGATATTTATACCGAGCGATAATATTACTCCCATTTCACAATTTAAAGCCACTCAATATTTGTTTTATATAACTGACATATAGATCCTTGTCATTTGATATATTTGAACTTTTTTTCAACACAAAACTGGAGGAAAATGTATTTGTCTCTTCCAAACCACCCCTTCACGAAAATGTTTGAACCCAACGCTGTAGCGCCGGCTCTTTGGAACAATACGCGCTACGCGCAACACTGAAAGCGTACACCAGCATGCATTTGCACACAAATACTGCGTCATGATCCTAACTGTTGAAAAGTATTTCCCATTCCCCATGGGCGGATAGTACTTTTTGAGCCCCAGCGTGAATGGGAGCAATAACGAATGCCACGTGATGTGAGTTTCACCAATCAAATGACAAGGATCTGTATGTCGGTTATATAAATCCAGATATCTTCCGACATAATATTACTGTGTGCTAAATGCTATACTTGTCTCATCAAAGGCAAAATTCCCCAAAATATTTCCCTATCTGCCCCACTAACACAGCGTCGAAAGACCATAAAAATAAGTTCATGAGAGATAAACATATTATTCTTCGCTGAAGACTGGACCGTACGTATGATAGTACCCAGCTGTAACGTATTTTATTTTGTGTCAAGAAAGACTCATGCTCAAAGTTCTTATGTTTACAACATGAATAATGGCTATTGACTAGCGGGATATATATATATATAGATCTCTAAAGAGTACTTACAGTTTTGTGACGAAATGTGTCGGATAAAGTCTCTCCCGTCTGCCTGTGTGCACAATCTTTAGTGTAGTGGGTGGCGTACGTGCCTGGTTCAATTGTTACCCAACGATGATGTTTCCGTATTTGCTCCTGAATCACAAGAAGGCGTACTTTTTACATGATTATACCTGAATTGCTATTGATTGGTACATTAAGGCTCTTCTCCACCAAATACGCGTTCAAAGAAAACGCCACAAAATCGGACTAAAAAGCGTCGCCTGGTGGCTCTCAGAAGCAGGGTGGCAACGTTTTTCTAACTGGAAAATAAAGATTGCGACCTCGAGGACAACTTTCTTTTCAAGTGTACCCATAGAGCAAGGACCCAAGGAGCTCGTACTCCAAGACTTCAAAAGTAAACTGATGGTCGCCGCGCTCGAAAGCTACAATAGAAAGCACCTGGCGCCAGCTTGCTCAGTTGCTCACTACGCTAATCTCGACACAATAGAGATCCGCGCTCACTAATGCCAAAAAAAAGGAGTTTGCATGGCTTCGTAGACAGTACCATGGTAAATACGCATGCACAGTTGTCATACATCGCTAAAAATGAATGCTCTGTACCTTTAGTGTGAAAACTTGTGAAATTTTCCAAAAAACACATTTCATCAATGATATATTGCCAATTAAAATGTCTGAAAATACATGAAAACTTATCTGAAAGAAATCCAATTTATCTCCAAATTACAGGGACAGATAACGCTTTTAAGCACCAACAACTGCACATTGCTAACTTGAGTTCATAACTCACATCTAACAACTGCGCAGTTGTAAAAACCTTTCTTGTCGTAAAATATATTTTTCAAAAAAGAGCAGCGACGTGACATGACTTATTATGCAGCATATAGGGAGGTTGTTGGTTACCAACTATAAAGGCAGCGACGATCATCGTGTTCAAAGGCCGCTGGCATTCACGCTTTGAATGGTCGAGGCTTGCGGTCACAGTGCTGTAACTATAGACATTCCCGAGCGATTGGTAATTCAATGGTCAAAATGTAAATCGCCCAAGAGTTCTGACTCCTTGGGTCCTTGCTCTATGGTCGGACGTACTCAAACTAAATATTTTTGGGTTTACATTCATCATACAAAAATTGCTTTTTGAAACAAAGTGACAAGGGGACAGAACAAACTTGCAAAGGGCGAGACGCAAAATGCTGGTGTTCTGTTGTGTGTTTATGCCTGCTTGGTATGCATTTTGTCTATAGTTTATCCCTGAATAACAATGCAGTTATAGCCGTTTGTTTTATGATGTTTACCCGGAGCTCTGTTGGTCTAAACTAAGAACCTAGAGTATTGACATAGAGCGATATTATCTGAGAATGCTCACTGCACTCAACGTGTCGAACTTTGGTGTAAATCAGTGTGGCATTGTGTATAGGAGGGTGACAAGATTGCATATCTATACCCTGTCGTAAACGTTAAAGGCCATATAACCAATGAATAAGTACAACGCACAACGTGATACTGAACATTCTGCTCTAAACCTTTGGGAATTTGCCTAAAAAAGAGCAAATTTATGCTATATTTTAGAGTTTCAGCCTGAAAATGAACTTAAAAAAAAAAAAAAAAATTGAAATACAAAAGTTATTACTTTTGACTGAGACATCGAATGACACCAATTTGGCCTGTGTTGGTTATGAAGTAATTGGTTCACAATTTCCGTTTTTTTTGCGGCATGACAATAACTCAGTTATCCCAGTATAGACTGGTTTCCGCCCCTGTTTGAAACTAGAGGGATAGGAAACCAGTCTACTCGCGAGGGCTGATCTGTGGAAACTTTGTTTGGGGAAGACAATGTACAGGACATTTTGACGCAAACTTAACACTCATTTTAGGAGATTAAAACGTTTATTTTTTTCACAAAATTTGACAGTATAAGACGGTTGAACACAACATGTATTACGTATCTCTCGGTTGAAGAACAAAATTGGAGAAGCAAAGTTATTTTTTACAACTGGAATCATGAACATTCACTCATCGGATATTTGAATATCTAAAGAGAACTTACGGTTTCAGGTGCCAAAATGTGTTCACATCTGCCCGTGTGAGAAATCGTCGAATCAGAGCAACTTCAAGTCAGGAATAAGGTAAACCTTGCTTCGATTTACCACTACCTCTGTCTTTGGACTTTTCTAGTCAGCTATTTGGAGCCGGAGCCGGAACATAGTTCTATCGCTGGTTACCAATAACCGCGCGCATCATGACGCACAGCAGGGAGCCAGTGCCCAGATGTTTCAGTGTTTGATAGGGGGCGTTCACACGTTGCTATTAGTGCGCAGGCGTAGGTTACACCACGAATCAACCATTAGTTGACTCTGGCTTGGCTGACGTAATTGATAAAGTAAGGTGACGTCCAGTTCTTTGTTGCCAAGTAACGAGAGGGCGCTCTTTCATTCTATGATCATACCAGGATGCT